GCGAGACCGAGCGTCCCCTCGCCATAGAGCGCGCAAAGTCGGCCGGCCCAGTAGCGTTAGTTCGTTAGTTTCGTTAGTTTTTAAATTTATTCATATTTTAAAAATACATATATATTAGAATAGACTAAAAAAAATTCATAAAATCAATTCATTTAAATTTTTCAAGTGTTTACCACACATTTAAAATAAAATATTAATGCTGAAAAATGCCGGTTCAAAATTTTAAAAATATTAATAGCATTCACAAAAAAAGTTTCATGACATTTAAAAATATGATTGTGATAATTAAAACAATATTTATATTTTTTTTACATTTTATAAAAAATAGTAAAATTTTGAAAAACATTCATGATACTCAAAAAATGTTCACGTGTCTCAAAAATATTAATGAATTTACTTTAAAGTTTTTATCTATACCTCTATACCTACCTACTAATAAAGTACAGAGCGTTTCTGCCCGCCCGTCGTCATATGTTTTACAAAAAAGACCTGTTTTTTCTTGAAGTAATACATGGTCCAACACTAAGTGCTCTTTCTCTGTTCGGCTTCAGTCCAACTGCGCAGCCTCTGTCTCGCGCGCCTGCCCTCCGGTTAGTATTCCGTGTTCAGCTGCAGTAGGCCCAGTTTACCCTGTTTTCAGCCCGTTAGGTCTCTGGCTTTTATTATTTATAGTAAATATGTTAAACATGATTATGTTGTAACTTTGCAACCGTAACTCCGATTAAATAATCTGTACATGTAATTTGATCAGAAAAATGCGTAGTTTCCAAGCGTGCTATTATTTGTTCTTGTTAACCCTTTTAAAACTCTGTTCAAAGCATAAACTAAATTAACCTACTTAATTGCTATGGTGTATTTTGGAAAATGCTAACACACAATATTGATCGATTTCGATGGGCATCTAGGAGTTATAAAGAAATGAGAGAATAAAGGGCGTGATCAGTAGGGATAAAAAAGAACAGGAGATTCAAAAAATATGAAGGAGAGAATAACACAAAGAAATTGGTATTAATACCAAAGACGTGGCATGCATGCAATGCAAATAATAATAAAAATTAACACCAAGGGACGTGGGAGGGGCATGCGTATATACGTTTCTGCACAGTGTGCGCCTGTTATGTGCAGCGGGAATAAAAGCGTCGAGTTGTATGCAACGAACTAGGGTCGTTTCACTCAGACCTAGATAATTATTTTATTAATCTTCAAACATACGTAGAGATGGCCTAAACCAAATTTAATAGAATCCTTTTATTGAGATTAGAATCATCATACAAAACCATATCAAAAGTATTGTATGTGTAGCAATGATATGAATTTTTGGTAGACCTCTGTGTCCGCCTCTCTGCCGTGGCCGAGAACAATTTATATGTTGTTGGGCCGTGCTGATGGATATTTCAGTGGACACATCAATTATCTCTTCTGTTGCAACGCACTGGCATATGTGCTAGTACAATGTAAAGAAGTTCACGTAATTGACAAAATCATACTCACAATTCAAAAAATGTCTGTGGCATTTTAAAAAATGTTTTAAAATATAGTAAAATAAAATTTAAGTTTTAATTAAAAAACTTACCATTTCAAAAAGTATTTGAAAAAAATTTCAAACATGTATTTGACAAAAATGTACATCAGGTATTACAAAAATGTTCAACATATATAATCTTTTATGAAAAACCAAAGAAATTGAAGAAATGAATATAATAAAATGAATACAAATTGGAAACATGAAGAAATCGAACGAAGAAATAAAAAAACAATATATCATTCATTATTAGGCCGGCCCATTCATTGCACAAAGTAGGCAAGAGGTGCATATATTTCGTGGTAAGCGAGATAGTATATGGAAGCAACTAGGTAGCGGGTACCCTTTCGGAGGCTCGCACGGTCACAGTTTGGGCCATGGGATTGCGGCAAGTGCTGCGGCCAGCCACGCCACTTGTTGTGCACTGCGCAAAGTCAGGACTTAATTTTTCCTGGTTGTCCCTAAGTTTTGATGAAAAAAAGTTTCATTTTTTTAGAAGCCGGGTTTTTTCGTGAGAAGCACAGTTGAGCTTCACAGTTGTGCTTCTCCAAAGAAAAAGTACCATGCTTGTGTTAAGAAAAGGAGAGCGCGCGTTACTCCCTCAAGAAATAAAAAAGAAGAAAAAGAGAGCGTGCGTTAAGCGCTGCACAATGCTCACGCATTATACAGAAGGCATATGAAAATTCCGTGGGAGCATTCGTGTCATAGCCTGCATTAGTGGGCACCGAGCACGCGAGTCGCGAAAGGAACTGTGCAAGCAATAGACTACGCGATCCATCTAATGATCAGACGCACTTAGCCTTAGAGGCGAACGGCTAGCAGCTGAGCACTATGAGCAACCACGCATGACCAACTCCCAAGTGCACCATCATCCGTTATGTGCGAGTCTTACATTTCCATTTGCAGCAGGCCTACGAGTGCTTTCAGTCGGCAAAGCACCAGCTGTCTAACAAAATGTTTCAATGAAACCCAGCCAGCTAGCGAAGATTCTTTTCTACGTAGTACTACGTGTATACGAGCGTGGTGCATGGAGCGCCCTTTGGACACCCACTGTCATGCTGAAATGCCAAATTTGACACATAGCTATCAAGAGACATCGGTGTCAAATTTGGTACTCCCTCCAATCCAAATTAATTGTCGCAACTCTAGGACAACTTTAATTTAGATTGAAGTATTTTTTATGTTGGTGTTGCAATTGCTAGTTAAGTGGTCTCTGGATTGACATAAATCAACATAAAAAAGCTATGCTTCACTCCTGCTAGCCCTTCTACGTAGCAACACCCGTAGATCGTCCTAACTAAGGGTAACTTAGATGGTTAGATTCTCTATGATGGTGCCTGCAGCCCATCAGAATTTAAGTTCTAAACTTGCACGGGTAGGTCGCATATTTTCTCGACTTAATTCAGGCTTTCCGACGATGTTCTTGTAACGTGCTAGGTTTCTTAAGAAGGAGAAGCAAAAAACTCTAGAATGCATTTTATTCAGCTAAAGGAACTCGCCATAGGAGCATCTACCTGTTGTGATTCCCGTTTTCTTGATTTGGTAATGTTATTTCACAACAGAGTGTGACGCTAGTGCCAAAGCCTAGAAAGCGAATGTGGCATGCCTATTAGAGTATTAGGCCTTCGATGTGGAAGCCCTTATGTAATTTTTTTTCTCTCTCCCGTTTACATAATCGTGATGCTTGTAGAAAAACAAAATCGACTTAAACAAGATGATCCCTAACCTTTAAAAGATGAGTAAAGCAAACATTGAGCCACGTCTTTGGTGTGTCTATTGTCACGTAGATAACAAATAGGAGTCTCTGAAACTAGGGGTGGGTTAACGACTAGCTCACCTTGTTAAAGATTGGCTCGTGATCATTAAGACTCGGATTACTAAGCTCATTTTTCCTAATGATTTAAATACAAAGATAACTCGGTGCATTAAAAGCTCAGGGATGCTCGGGAGCACTCATTACAGCACATCACAGGTACAAGTAGCATGTCATGTCAACAATAGCTTAACATATGATTTGAACGATCGCATTGTCAAATGCATTAATGATTTGCAATAGCCAACAAGGCAACATAATAGTGTAAGAAACATGGATAAGTCCAAGCATAGGAGGCATGTGGGCTAGATTTGTGAGGTGGCCTAGATGATTGTGATTAAATGGATTACGAATAATATTAACGGTTTTGACGAGCTGCTTGTGAAACTCGACTTCAAATCATTAAGCTCTTTGTAGTTTAATAAGCTGAAATGAGCACAAGTTAAAACTAGTGGAGAAAACAAGTGATTGTTTCGAACTTTGAGCTTTTTGTCCATCCGTAGTTTCACCGGCCTTCATTGAAGGCAAACACTCAGCGTAGGACCGCGGGGACGCAAGTGAACTTTTGGCGTACAAGCACACTCACCAGAAAAAGTGACATTGAAAAAGTTTTACCATAACATAAACAATTCGTAATTTAGGGCGGCCAATTATGAACTGTTTATACGGAGTACATGGTTAATTTTAGTTTTATACATGAATACCTGGGCTGCGGTTGATCGACCATGATTTAACCTTTTGGCAAAAAAATACTTCAAATTTGACGTCATGTGTATCTTAACAAAATGAATGCTCTCTGATGAACCTTATGACGTAGTATTCCGTTTCTCACAAGAAAGGATACACTGTCAAATGCAACGTGACACTGCCACCTCAGAGTGCGACTGCATGCCCCATACCAATTATCTATGGCGGGACCGATTACCAACTAAGCTGCCACAAGTAAATCGTGATCGATCAACCGCATTATGGGCGTTCGACCGATTAGGCGGCCGCCTCTTGCCGCAGTGGTATACACACAAGTGCCATAAATTAGAAGGTGTTTTTTTTTACATTTCGAAAAATAAATCGCGCGAAATGTTGAGTGTTAATAAAGATAAAGCACACCTGTAGGGATGCAGGAGGATGCCCTTGACCTTGAACGTCCGGTACAGCAGCGGCCGCCGGCCGTCCTCGCCGCCGTCCGCTATGGCGGCCGCCATCTCCCCCTCGTCGGCGGCCACCCAGTACTTGTCCTTCGGGCTGATCTTCTTCGCCACCTTGCTGCCGCCGTTCGCCTGCAGTGCCGGCGTCGCTCGGTTGGCGACGCCGGCCTTGTGCCCATTGCCGGTGCCGTTCTCCAGCGCCAGCGCCTGGTCCGCGACGCCGGCGCCATTGCTCGCATGACCGGCCCCGTTGGCTGCCGCCAAAGAACCCATGCCCCACGATTCCCAGCTATGAACAGTGGATAGCTACACTCGATCGTGCTTACATATGCTAGCTTTAACTGGCTGTGTGAGATGAGATCACCGGATGGACAGCAGCTGAGCGAGTGTATATATGGTGCACGGGCTATGGGAGTGGGAGTGCGCAGCGAGATGTACACCGGTACCGGACTGTCGGCTGCGTGCGTCCGATCGGAAGGCGGGTCACTTGGGAGGGAATACGGTTCTACAGGGTGGATCGGCTGGGCTGCAGCTATCAACTAGCGCGGGGACGATAAATTATTATTGCCATGCCATTGAGGAATGCACCTCTAGTTTATTCAGCAGCAGCTAGGCGATGGGATCCGGTCTTCCCTCTTGAGGAGCTAACGGTACGAATCGATCGGCGAGTTTTGCGCGCGCGCGGCTGACACTCACTGCAGCGAAGCATAACAATGACAGAGTGTAGGGAGCTCGTAAGTCTTCACCGCGCGCCTAGATAACTAACAATGCCACACGTGCCATTAAGGAATGCGGCGTGTTTAATTATTAGCAGCGGAGATGAGATCCGCCCTGTTGTTGGTGGACTTCCGCTTCAGGAGAAACGGTGCAAATAGTCAGCGCTTAGCTTAGCAATATAAGAGCATCTGCAGTCGGACCCCTTAAACCTGTCTCATATATTTAGGCGGGCCGTTCAGTCACTGTCCGGTCACTTGTTTTTTACCTAGACAACCCTCAAACATTTGGGCTGACCAGCACCCCTCGTATCAAGTCCAAATATAAGGTGAATATAAAGGCGCTCGGGCACGCCCGCCATGTCGGACCCGGCCCATGTTGGTTCAACCGACCCCACATAAATTCCTCAATGTCCGCTCGTCCAACCAAACCCTAGCCACTTCACTCCCCTCCCCTCCACTCCCCTCCGCCATCCAAGCTCGTCTCCGACTCCTTCCGACCGTCTCTAGCATGGCGGGCAGCGGATCCGAGTCCTTCACCTTCAGATCCATCGATCCCGAGCTCATCCCACACGACCCCGAGGAGGTGATGGCTGTCCGGCTTGCGCTCCGCCGCGCCCGGGAGGAGGCCCGTGCACGGCTGCGCTCGGACTCCATCCGTCAGGAATCCATTATGTCCTCCCAAATGGCGCATGGATCCGGCGCTAGGCCAGCCGTAGCTGCCTCGCTGGAGGACGTGCGGTCCATCTGGTGTCCGAACGCGCTGGCAGACGCGCAACCCCTCCGTTGACGTGCCAAGCATCGGGACGCACCATGGGCCTCGTCCAACGAGGCCATGGCACGTCGTGCCCGCCGTGGAAGGCACCGGGCGTGGGAGGCGGCGGCAGCCCTCGCGGCGGTGGACGTCGGGGAAGCGGAGTCGCATTCTTTGGCGCCCCATATGGTGCATCAGTCTGGGTGATGCAACTGCATCGTGGTGAACGTCGGCGGCTCGTCCCCGGACGGATCCGTCATCGATCTGACGTCCACTAGCACCCAACAGGTACCAGGCTCCACGAGGAAGAGTAGGGCATGGGAGACGGCGACGTCTTGAGTCCCATGAGCCGGATTGTGTCCCATGCCCTACTCTACTTTACCGGCGACCAGACCAACACTCCGGGGAGTGCAGCCAGCCGCCGGACATGGCCATGGCGACCGGACGAGCTCTGGTTAAAGATCGCTACGTTGCATGTAATAATATGAATTTGAGGTTTCTAATTTGAAGTATCCGGATGTGGAATGCATTTTTTGAGGCGTGATCGGTCACTGTCCGCGGATGCGCCCAGACGCGTCCGCGGACGTTTGAGGGGTCGGATTTGCCAAGTCCAACTATAGATGCTCCGATAGAGGTACATGGTCTAATTTGTACAAACTTCGTTGTATTTTTTATGAAATTATTAATTAAATTGGGATTAGCTAAAAAAAGAATGGGCCTATTTATTCAACTATCATGGCATTAATACAAGTCCACAACACATGCTTTGCTTGTTACTTTTCGAGGGTGCACGTCTCCAAGAGTTTGTGAGAGCAAGCAAATCACCTACTCTACCTCTTAATGAGGATTTCTGGTGCAAGCCATGGTGGAATAGATTGATTGCCCTCGATGCACGACGCAATTGAGACCTCTTTGATCTTAAAATCATGTTGGTCTGAAGTCTCCATTAATGTGGAGTACCAGGTATGATATCACAAACTATATGAACCACGGAAAAAAACATCATCGAGCAACCTTTACTTTCTTACAAGTTACTTTATTCTGTTGCCATACTATTTTCTAAACCTCGGCCTGAAGCTGAGAACTCTTCTAATGCTTTGACTCTCCCTGACACTGCTATGAACCCAAGGAGGAACGTGCCACGTCGTGGCAGAGCTCTTGCACCTCTAGACTCATCAAATCTTCGGAGAAGTGCTCGTGCCAACATGTATGATGGTTTTCGGGTGACACGGTCAGGGGCGGAGCTAGGCTGGAGCTGGGCCCCGGGCCTGCTTCCTTGCTACAGTGATGTACAGTGATCAAGAGTACAAATTCTGCTACAGTCAACGAAGGTTGCTCCTGCCACGACCCGGGCCTAGGCCCCCCAGGCCTGGGGTGTAGCTCCGCCACTGGACACGGTCATCTGACACGTACATGCTCCTACAAGTCCAAGGTGAGGCCACGTCACACTCCTTCAGCTCCAGCATCAAGCTCCTCCTCTACTCAAATTGTTCCAATAAATGATGAAGGTGATATTCCCCCACTCACTACCATACCCAAGATGCAAGCTGATAGTAGTCATCTGTGTGCCATCCCTGAAGCAGAGCTCACCGCAGAAGCTTTGAATGAAGAAGTGGCTAGCCCGTCTTCAAGTGTTATCAATGTGGAAGAGATCGCCACTGAAGCTCTGAATGAAGAAGAGACTGGACTGTCTTCTTCGGCTTAAACTTTTACTTATCTCTATTATAGTTTTGCTGCAAAGCTGAAACTTGTTATGCTGGAATGCTTGTGGACTTAATTCAGCTGATAAATAACTAGCTTTATCCAATGCTATTACCTCTAGTGGGTGCTTTATTATTTGCTTGCAAGAAACTAAAATGTCGATGATTGATGCTATGATGATTAAATCTTTATGCCCTAGACGCTTTGATAAATTTGCTTTCATCCCATCGCAAGGTGCCTCTAGGGCATCATAACCCTATGGAATAGTTCTCTTTTTGATGGAGATGTAATCGGATCAAAACCCTTTGCTTTGGGTGTTAATTTCACTTCCAAACAACCGGCTCAATCATGGACTTTACTAAACATATATAGGCCCGGTTGGGGCAAGGATAGAATTAGATTTACCAATTGGCTCTTCAACCTTGACGTTCCCAACTCCCAAGACTAGCTCATATTGGATGATTTTAACTACATGTGCTCCCCTGATAATTATAACAAGCCAGGAGGTGATGCTTCCGACATGTTCACTTTCAACGATTTCATTAGAGAACAACAGTTGATTGAGATCCCCATCAAAGGACGCCAATACACCTGGAGTAATATGCAACAAGATCCACAACTCGAACAACTAGACTGGTTCTTTACCATGCTTAATTGGACAACTTCCTGATACGTCCATTTTGCATCATGTTTTCTTACTATTATTTATGATGTTTTTATCCATAATAAAGCTTTTTGGAGTAATTCTAATGCATTTTCTCTCATAATATGCAAGGTATACACCAAGAGGGAGAATTCCGGCGGCTGAAAATCTGGACCTGACACAGGTACACGTCGGTGCTATACAAACGGTTTTTATCCCCTTTCTGCGACGGCGTTCGTAACCGTCACCTAGTGAGTGTGGGCGATAGGGGGGGGTCCTTCCCACACAACCCAGAAACCGTCGGGGATATGCCCTCCTGGCACACACGCTAGGCAAAATGAGGTCGTGTGTGACCGACGAGCGACCAAATACGGTTATACGTACAGTAGTGGTAAAAAATACAATTATACAGGTGAAATCGTTACCGGTCGTAAGTACTGTTGGGGAACGTAGTAATTTCAAAAATTTCCTACGCACACGCAAGATCATGGTGATGCATAGCAACGAGAGGGGAGAGTATCGTCCACGTACCCTCGTAGACCGTAAGCGGAAGCATTATGAGAACGCGGTTGATGTAGTCATACGTTTTCACGATCCGACCGATCCAAGTACCGAATGCACGGCACCTCCGAGTTCAGCACACGTTCAGCTCGATGACGTCCCACGAACTCCGATCCAGCAGAGCTTAGCGGGAGAGTTCCGTCAGCACGATGGCATGATGACGGTGATGATGTTGCTACCGACGCAGGGATTCGTCTAAGCACCGCTACAATATGATCGAGGTGGATTATGGTGGAGGGGGCACCGCACATGGCTTGGAACAATCAACTTGTGTGTCTTTGGGTGCCCCACCGCCCCCGTATATAAAGGAGCAAGGGGGAAGGCCGGCCAGCCTTGGTGCGCTCCAAGGAGAGGAGGAATCCTCTTCCTACTAGGAAGAGGATTCATCCTTTCCTAGTCCAACTAGGAAGAGGGAAGGGGAAAGGAAAGAGAGGGAGAGGGAAAGAGGGGCCGCGCCCCCCTCCCGTAGTCCAATTCGGACTCCCCATGGGAGGGGGCGCGCCACCTCCTGTGCTACTGCCCTCTCTCTCCCCTCAGGCCCACTGTCGGTGTCAAAACCGGCGGATCTCGGGTAGGGGGTCCCGAACTGTGCGTCAAGGCCGGATGGTAACATGAGACAAGGGACACGATGTTTTTTACCCAGGTTCGGGCCCTCTCGATGGAGGTAATACCCTACTCCTGCTTGATTAATATTGATGATATGGGTAGTACAAGAGTAGATCTACCACGAGATCAAGGAGGCTAAACCCTAGAAGCTAGCCTATGGTATGATTGTTGTGTATGGAGTTGATTGCCTACGGACTACAACCCTCCGGTTTATATAGACACCAGATAGGGTTAGGGTTACATAAAGTCGGTTACAATGGTAGGAGATCTTGAATATCCGCATCGCCAAGCTTGC